TTGATACGACAAGTACAGCAAGCTTTTTACCTTGACTGGCAACTGACAAGTTTGCCAACGCAGCCAGACCTTGTAGGTTTGACGCTTCCGTTGTCGCTGTGGTGGCACTGTTCTGCAAGGCAGCTAACCCGGCGAGACCTAGGAAATGGTTCATACTCGAATTAAAAATCATCATTCAGCAGAAATTAAATTGAAAACGAGACGCCACCGCACAATTGACTCTGCCAGCGACAACAGTACAGTCAAGTACTGTACTCTTGTACAGTATATAAAGGGAACTTCACATTACAGTAACGAGATTCTAATAAGGCTGTACAATACTTCCATATTTCTCGGCGCACCACGCGCCCTTGTGCAGAACGCACTGCAATTTTTCAATAAGCAAATCGCAAAAAATATTAATTACTTTCATTCTTGTTCGGCGTGAAAATACTTCATCTAATTAAAAGGAACGCATAATACACCAGGGAACGCGCAAAATTACAAGATCAAACTTTTAGGACCACAATCCCTTCTGTTCTTTCGTTATGCTCAACCAAATCGTAATTGAAGTAAACAAAAAAAAAAATTCGCTGGTTAATGAAGGACATCTAAAAAACATATAACATTGAAGGAACGAAAGACAGGCGAGTGAAATGCCAATTTACGAACAGCTTTAAATATTGACCGACAGGAAGAACCACCGACGAAACTGTCTCGGACGCTTGGAATGAAAATAATGACCTGACATACGACACATACCCTCAACACACATCGACGGGTTCACAACAAATTCAAAGTTCCATTACAGTGCATTTGAATGAATTTGAAAGATCAGTACATTCACTTCGGTTAACCTCATCTTTTGTGGAATGGGAAGCACAGAAGAAAAATGATGATACTTCGCAAAATTTTGGACCAGCACCGCAATTCTCTTACTGCAGTATCGGTACACTTAATATAGTACAAATATAGGCCACATTTTGACCAATATCATGATGCAAATACAGTATTGTCACCAAGAATACATTCCAAATAAATAATATTATTGCGGTAATTTGAACGTCTTCAAAATTCTAGAACACGCAAGTATGACAGTTGCCTTGATTTCCTCACAGTTACAGCGTACAATTTCGATCTTCTACCATTTTCTTTATACTTCAACCAGTGAGATAAAAACGAAGACAAAAACTTGTAACAACCAGAATGAATCCCATTCATTCGTTCAGAACTCCTTACAAAGGAAGCACCATATTTACAAAAATGAATGAACCACCAACCCTCGCACGCCATATCTAAATTGATGACAAATGCTATTGAAATATCTACGAGTAATTTTTCGGCACTTCAAATATCTGAAACCCTACGAATCAGGGATGCTGATCATGCCTCGGATTTTTCTTGAAATCAGACTGGCGTCCATTCAACATTTCCTGATGACAGAAAATTTCAAGCATCATAAGCTCGTCTCCCTTTCGACGACATCGACACCAGCCTTTCTCCTGACTATTACCCCCTGAAGGAATCCTCGTCTTTCTCTCTCTCTCTTACCTAGTTGGTTGGAATTGGTACTGTGTATTCCGGCCAGAGAAGCGGCCAACTGTTGGAGTTGCAGGGAGTTGAGACCGCTCATGGTGAGGTTTGTGGCAGGACTGGAGGCCTGCGTGGCCTGGCCGGGGCCGGCCGACGTGGAACCCGTCGACTGGGTCGTCGCCATCGCTTGCAACACCTTCAGTACACAGATCACACTCACACACGAGTACAACACACACACCAGCACCCGCTCAATAATTTCGATCCAGCGTCTCTACTACGATACGACACGACGTGTCGAAACACAGCCAGCCCAACAACCAGTCGTAAAATTCGTACAAGTACAATACGTTATTTTACAGAACAGCTCTGTGATGACCTTTCATTTTAAATCTTCGCGCACTATTCCGGTAATGTATCAGAACAGCCATTCTTCGCTCGTGCAGCTATCGTAAAAAAATAGAAGGTTATAGAATCTATCGCGAGGTTTAATTTAGCTTTTATATATGCGTAACCTTCGCAATAAATTCGATCAGTCCGTAATGTTTTCCAAAATTTACAAAGCGCCCAAACCTTGGCGAGAGAAATAATCCCGTACATGTTACTGCACAGCAGCCAGCCGATGGATCAACAAACAGTAACACACAGGTTGTGACAATTAACACTAGGCCTATACCCAGTACCAGAAAAAGAGAGGAAGAAAAGAGAGAGATAGGAAAAAAGCCAACAAAACGTTGGCACAACGAGAAAAGCGACGTATTACATATATTACGGCGAGACACGGAATTTATCTTCGGCAAATATCACAACGATAAAAAAATCAATAAATTCAAGATTACTCACAGATAAATATTGTGGAGCCAAAGCGGCCAGATTCAAATTGTTCACGGACCAAATATTCTGCGCCATCTGATGCAGTCGCTTCTGATCCTTCTCCTTCTGCGTATCAGCAAATTTCACGACTATCGGCGATGAGCAGCCCTTAAAAAAATATGAGTGAAGACGATAACGATTACTTGAGGAAACAAAAAAATAAAATGCAAAAGCAGACATCGGGTGGGAAAACATTGCGTGCACATTAGCAGCTGGAGATGGATGTGCTCTGAGCAAATGTTTGCTCGAATCAATGCCATGTGGTTCGCGCGGTCCTGAATTCCCAACGCTCTTCGACGTACAAACCCCGCTTATTAAAATTGATCAATTTCTTCCATTCATGATTTTAATAGAATAATCAATTTGAAAAGAGTAAAAGGGTACGCGCAAATTATCAAGTTCCGTGCACTGCGAATGAAAGTTCATTCAACAGCCCATCCACAGGGTGGGCAAACATTTTACCGACTTTTCGGATGTGGCACATTTTTAACGGCTTTGATTTTCCAAAGTCAAATCAGAGTTCGTCCGCGTATCTTAGGAATAATGCCCAATCGATATTTTAATTGCATCGTCATTACGAGCAGATTTAAAGCAAATACGAAAATCTCAAAGGAGAGAACATTTTCAGATGATCTTTAAAACAAGGGTTAAGCAAGGAGTGTCCTCGGTACACACGAGTTTTAAATGCATTCACAAGCAGTCAACTTTTTGTATCGGTCAAATTTTAGGTTCGTCTTCAAAATTTCTCTAACGCTTTCACAAAACGTCTAACATTGGCTGAGGAGGAGGTAATATTTATACCGAACTACCCTCTGCGCATGAACATGCCCCTGTTCAAGGAATGAAAAATAACATCGACAAAAACGATATTTTGATCAGCAAAATTTTTTCCCGACAGAAAATCGAATTTCGGTACAGAATAGTTTTCTGAACACGAACATTTTCGATCTGACATGACCAGTGATGGAGACAAGAATGATGGAAACACTGATCATTCTTTCCAATGGCATTCAGGCAGCAAATACCATTGTTCACTCACGTGACAAAATAACATCACAATCGTCACGGGATGAACTTGAGACAAAACTATAAATTCAGAAATTGCCGAACTTGAGAGAAAAACTGAACGAAAATTTCTCGAGCGTTTACGAAATTGATCAAAATCTTACAAGCAACGAACGTAAAACTATTCTATACCGAAAGCCAGGTAATTGCTAATAATAATAAACGGGCGTCAGCAGATACAGAATACGGTATATTATTCACGTTTCATCCAAGAATTTCGCTTCAAGCGCGTATTTAAAAGGACATTGGTACGTTAATGCTAGCATCAAGATTTGTCTACGATTTCATTGGGTTCAATTGTCCTAGTCATTTAAACTCATTTTCGCTAATATTTTCTCAATACGCCGTTCAAACAGACAAATCTGAGGTAGTTCTTGTCTCACTTGCTTATCTTAAATTAAAACCAATCCTCTACTTGAGGACTCCAATAAATCCTCGCAGCAACGATTAAAAACTGTAATCACAAGGATTTCGAATGTTGAAAAAAATACTGTAGTCATTTTTTGGCTTCAAAAAAATCAACAACCCCCAAGATTTGAAGAAAGATCACGACGATATTAGTCCAGGTTCTTGTAGAACATTTTGTTTTTTCTTGTTTATCCGGACGAAGGAACTGCGTCATCAAGGTGGGTGATTAAATTTCCATAAAATTTAAAATTACAGTATAAATATTGAGACCCTACTGGAGATAGAACTTGGCCTTTAAAAAGTTCACTTCATGGTCTTCGGAAGATGGTTTCGAAAGTTTTGGACAAGACCAACAAACGAACCTACTCCAGTCAGCCGGCTGGATGGATGCTGGAAAACACGCATTGTTTTGTACTGCAAAAAAACGCCATAATTTACAAAAAATGTCTGAAATTAATTAGAAAAATACACAAAAGATATCCCCCTCCCCGGGAATTTTCTTCTGAAGTTCGCGAGAGTCGGAACAATCAATCATTTAAAAAATAAGAATGTATTCAAATCATCGTAATACAGCATATAAAAGAATTCCTTGGCTCGCTGTAATAGTTTTATCCGAACATTTAATAGGATCACAGTTGAAAAAGTGCTGCAGCAGATAGATAACGAAATAGGCTACGAGTTCATATCCAGTAACGAGACTAATAAAAAAACCCCTCTTCCTGAATTGCATTTCAAAAGCGAATAACTCCGGACCGGAGACAAAGGCGACCCGAGAACGGGCGAAGTTCGTCGCTCCTCAGCCGCTGATGAAGTCATCCAGAATCCACCGGAATCCATCACTGAGTATTCCCCGACCCCACCAACTTTGGCACGAGTCGTATAGCCCGCTCTCCGAAAATCCCGGGACACGCATGGGAGGAATAAGGTGGCCCAAACCCGACCCAGGACCCCATTTCCTCCGCAACGACCTTATTCACGAACCCGGGGCGTTAATATGAAGGCGCGGCGGGTGGCCGGCTTTGTGTGTCGCGCTCATTAAATACACCCGCGGGGGCTCTCATTACGCCCCAGGGCTGAAGATCACAGGCTCATCAACCACCCTTCCCGGGGGCTAGAAAACTTGCGAGAGAAATTACGCCGGGTCGACGGTGGGAAAATTAACGCCGGCTCAGGATTCGGATCAATTTGCACAGAGCACATCGCTTACGTCAAACTCGCAGAAAGCCGTTCGTCACGATGGATAATAAAAATGTCTGTCTTTCATGAAACTCTCTTTCCGAAAGGCGTATCTTCCCCACAGTAATCGAACTGTTGTTTATAATAATTACATGGATTCCCGGGTAAATTGCTACTGTATTTAACTTTCCCGAAAACTGACAGGTGGTACTGCGAGTGTTTTTGATCAACGTAGATTACTGCAGTCACAAGGTAATCAAAGCGTGAGAGGTAATCGAGGATGAAAATTTTCTACTGCGGCTATTTTTGTTCGATTGCGAAAAGCTTCGTTCTACAGCACAAAATTCTATGAAATTCATCATGATAGAACTTGAGTTAAAATTTGCTATTGAAACAGCGCTTGACTGGCTAAAAAGGCGAAAATTGTTGACCATAAAAAAAGATTCTACGAAATTAAATTTTCAACATACGGTAAGACAAACTACAGTAGTTCAATTCAAAGCTCATGGATTATTGTTCGTTTCGAAATTTCCCGCATGTGTTTTCACTTCCAAAAATCGAGCTTAGATTTGTGGAATCTGCTTATATTCCGAAATCAATACCATGCCTTCCGTTCTTCAGGGCGATCAGTTTAGATTTCGATTGATTCAATACATTTGACGAGAAAAAAAACCGATACTGTATAATTATACAGAAGCCCCGGCAACTGAGGTCACACCCGAATTTTTCTAAAAAAAAAAAAAGTGGGAAAAGCGGAGCAATCTACCTAAAATTCATGAGTTTCGAATGATGCAAACGATGTTCGCATCACCCTGAGACTTGGAAACGTCTAAAAATCAAGAATCGACTCACCTCCATCGTAGTGGAATGATGCATGCTTTTAATAGCGTTGATGGCGCTCTGCCGCGTCGTGAACGTCACAAAAGCACATCCTGTCGAAGAAGAAAAAAAAAAGCAGCATTGAAGTTTATAATCATCACAGATTATCAACAAAAATGTACAGTATTTCAAAGCATCGCAGCAATCGAACCACTGGTCTTGGAATTGAACATTATTTGGTCTTGTTCGTCCCTATATCGAGAAACCGGCCACACAATATTCCACGCACATGGATTATCAAAAGTAATGATTAACAGTAGCGCGAAGTAATAATTACACTCGGCCACACTATGGAGAAGAATTCCACCATTGAGGAAGAAGAGCACAAAGAGGCGGAAGCTTTGGCGCAATAATGATTTAAAATCGCCTATATCAGTGTTCCCCAACCTTTTTGGGCCCGCGTACCAGCAAATTTCCGTTAAAGTTTTTGCGGACCGGTAAATTTCCTAAAATTTCTGCGGACTGGCCAAGTTTCATAAAATGCTTGCTTGAAACTTGGAAGACTTTATCGCAGGCATTTAAAACGTTTATGCTTTTTTGCGAACATTATGAACCAATGAAAAACAAATACTGTATAGTGGAATGTCTCCAAAAAAATAGAAAGGTGGGCTTGAAAAAAGTAAATAACTCATTACAGCAAGTTAAATTTGTCCGAAGTGTCATTCGGAGGAAACTCAAGTTTTATTTTTGATCAGATAATTTCCACTGCCTTCGGTCTATCCGAAATTTCAGAAAAAATCATAACAGACTTCATTGCTACTTTCGTTAATACATCATCCAGCAGAAAATTTCCAGCAGACCAGCAAAAAACTTCTGCGGACCGGCGCCGATCCGCGGATCACGCGTTGGGGAACACTAGCCTATATAATTTTGACAATTATGTTCATAGTGTTAAGCCTCTTTCAGATAAATACTTTCAAGTTAGGAAACGAAACCCAATCGAAGGGTTGCCATGTGCAACGCAAAGAAAATGTTCCACAGAACATGTTTTTTTTTTTTTATTCTGCACGCGCCGTGTTTGAACGCTCCGAATTGTTCGGTCCACTTATTTTTATACCGTGGCGTACTGTTTCGTATAATTATGTTCTTCTCGTCGGGATTGCAGCAGAAAAACTCCCCGAGTTTACTCTGCATTCCCGCCTGCCACGTGTAACAGGAAATTAAAACACTCGAAAGTCAACTCGTCCGCCCTCCCATTCCACCGCAAAGCAGTCAAATTTTTTGAGGCTTAGCGAAAAAGACAGCATCACTTCCTGTTCATCCCTCTTTCCTTGGAGCAGGAACGAGGAGGCGCCTGCTGCCATAAACAAACCCGGATCCAACAACGCAACACGTGCCGCGGCCAAGCGTCAGCACAGATGCGGGGAAACAAATGGGGCGCGGCCGACGGGAAAATCGCATTCCTTCCTTTTTTCCCCTCGTTTCCCGAGGCTTCTTATTTGTTATTTTCAACAGCTTTAAAATTTTCTTCAGCACCGCGTTTTCTGAAGTTTTAAACATTTTAATATGTTTCTTCCCCTTCCCAGTGCGAATTTCTGACTCTCCAGCCTATGCTACGTGGGCCCAAGGAACGCCCCTCGTCGCACCTGCTCGATCGTTTATCAGCAGAGTGAGAGAATTCCAATCGCAAATGTGAACCGTATTACGCATTTATTTTAACGGTTTCCAGGTCCCAACACAAATTGACACTGCCAACTCTTCGTTAGAAGAACGAACTTGAAAAAAATGTACGAATGGGATCATTCACGATCAGGCCTCTAGTCTCAACAAGGATATGCGGGAGTTTCCAGCGAACCAAATGAAAAAGGTAACCCCAAGACTGTTCGATTCAATGATTATTTTGACAATAACTTTAAATCCGTGTAGAGTGTGTTTCACAATGAACCAGTCCTTTTTGTTTCATTGCCAGGAAATATTTACAGACTTTTCAAAGAACAAGCATGAGGTTTCATCAGATGTTTCGATAAAAATAAAATCGGCGCATATGATAAATGTTGACACGAAAAAAATCTGAACCAGTATTTATAGGGATCAGCGTTTGCGGGAAATGCTTTCTTTTATAAGTACAGAAAATTCCCCTCGCTCTTCCAGGACCAGGAAAGCCTATAGAAAAAGCGAAAACATTTTTCTTACTTTCTAAATTTCACGGACTTTCAGCTGATATTTCGACTCCTACTGGAGAAAACGAGGCACATTAAAGTTTCTTGGGTGAAGATAGACCTGGACGAATTCACAAAACCGATAATTTCTTAGAACGAATGCGTAGTTGCATGACCCATCAATCAAGGCGAATCGATCGTTATACATTGTATCTTTAGTCTATTTCCATATTCGCACTACTGAGCGTTGAAAGTTAAAGTTCCCGAAATATCGTTCGCATTTTTTCCTCCCAGAATAACAAGCAACTATCGAAATAACTCGACGTGCGAAATCATCTCGCCACGTTATGCCAAGTTTTCAAGGCCCAAATTCGGAGGGGCTGCGCACTCAGGAACCCGGAAATGAAAGGACGCGTCATCTGACCAACAATCAAAAACACAAACAACAATATTAACCCAACCGAAAAAAAACAAAAAAGAAGAGAAAAACATCGACAGCCACTCTTTCAAAATGCACTCATGCGTCGGGGGGTACGCGGCAGGTGGCAGGGTCATTCGACACCGCGCCGATGATCCAGAAACGCTAATGACGGCGGATGCCCCGTTGGCAGCACCCCAGGAGTTAAAAAGGAAGTTCCCGAGACGGGCCCAATCGGCTGACGCGTGAATCGCGTTCGACCTCGCATCCGTCACCGTCACCAGCGTTCACCGACTGAGGTGACAAATCGTCTCCGGTTTCCCCCACACTGTCTCCCAAGAAACTCGTCGGTCTTTGAGACGGCGAGGAATGAGAAAAAAAATTTTCAAAACGCTCGCTAATCACTCTCGAGTGACACACGAAACATCTTTTCATCAAAATGGATTTTTTTTCCCTCTATAGTGAATGATGGAATGAACCGTTGAAATTCCAAGTCTCCCGGAAAATACGATTCCTCCATAAAATTATACCAAATCGTATAAATAAAAATACAGGAAGGATCCCCACCACTTCCAAGAAACTGGACGCTCCTTCAGACGGCGGGGAATGATACAATTTTTCATAACCTTCTCTTGACAAAAGAAACATTTTTCATTGAGGAGGGGTTTTATATTTATTGACCGAAGGTCGGTGAAATACAGTGCCTTCCCAAAAACGTGACATATCCATTAAGCACTACTAAAAATGAGAACCAATGACCAGAAATTCTTCGTAGTTCAAATTGACTCAACTGTCATCCTTAGGAACTCACTAAAGAAGGATTCTAGCTGTCTCTTAAAAATAGCTCGGTTGGTAAACGTGTTGAAGGCAAATTTTGAGCATGATACTTTGTCCTGTACTGTACTTCCATTCGAGAAACACGTTGTTCGATTACACCACAGGAAGCGTTCATCGAAACCTTAGGCCTCTTCAGAAGAATCGCATGATACCTTGCACCACGAGACGAACAAAATAATTCGTGCTAAACATTCGGAACAACAGTCACAAGGAAGCATACCCTGAAATATGACAAAGAACTCAGAACTGATAAAATGAGAAAAGAAGATTTGAAGAGCCTTCGAAATGACAGCACACGCCTGCACGAAAACAACCTCAGCGATCTTCCACGTACAGTACTTCCTAGAAAAACGTGGCGCTAAAAACCTCTCACGGCAGCGAAATCCATTCATCAATCC